CGGTTAAAGGTTACAACCGGACCTAAATAAATGCTGTACTCTTTAAAAAGTGGTTCATGATATACAGCATGAAACCAGAGCAAATCTAAATGTCATTTTAACTCCGAAAGCAGAGGTCACAACCAGCTTAACAAATTGCTATCCCAATAACCGGAGAGACAAGAACATGGTAGAGTTCACAGACAAATAATATTTAATACAATATATTCAAAGTCTGTATACAATCTTCATATGTACTCTGTGTATACCTGCATACAGGCAATGTAGCTTTTAACTGAACTATTTATATTTGTACTGCCCTCTCTATCTATCTCTCTCACTCCCTCTCTTTTGCAATCAATATTTACAGTAAAAGAGACAGAAAACTGAACATTAAGTTACAATAATTCAAATCATAACAAAATCTACAGTACTGTATGACTGCTATATAAAAAGTCCTGTACAGAAAATATATTTACAGATAAAAAGAACTGGACATTTTGAAAAGAAAAACATGATATACTGGAGATATGTTAACAGGTTCTTATTTCTTTTGTCACCATCTTATTATCTTGTCTCTGGCACCTACTTCTGGTAACTATCTGTTGAGACAGGCTTGGTGGTAGCCAAATGTACGGAGAAACAGTTACATAAGGAAGATTTGAATCCAGGACCACTGAGTCAGCAGACGAGTGCATCAGCCACCCTGATAGTGCAGCTCTTCCCCCTTATTTGTTTATGTCATCCTATGCTGCTGTTATATGTTGCACAGGGCTCTCCGTGTAGTCTCCCACTGTATCCTGTGCCATCCCTTCAATACCATGGGTGGAACCCAGTCCAGCAGCTCTGACTTCTCTCATCAACCTTCGTGTCACTTGGAAACCCTTACTGCCTCGATCCATCTGTTTCCTATTGCAGTGCCTGTTTGGGGATTCTTCGCCGATTTCTTCTAAGGGTGTGCCCAGTGTGATAGAGCACGCACAAACACACACATTTCCCCCTCCCCTAACTCTTCACCTATAATCTCTCTTGGTCTGGCACCTATCTTAGGCTGGCCCTACTTGGAAGCTTTAGCTCAGTAAGAGAAAAAAGTCTTGTCTTCAGAAAGTCCTAGATAAATTTCTCTCGTTACCTGCACAGAAACGAAAACCTCCATGTGTGAGAATACTGGCTTAGCTGGCCGCAAAAACCTGGCAACAACCACAAGGGAATTTCAACAACTCTACTTTATGAGACCAGAACTAAGACTGATAGAAATCTAGCTCTGAATATCTAACATAACTTTGGTGATTTTCACACATTTTCTTAATTATAATATTAATTTTTAAGCTAATCTAAAAGAAATAATAAATGCATACAAAAACAAAAATTATACATGTGATACCCTGACAATATGTAAACATTCCTATCTATCTCTGAAATGAAGGCAAATAAATTAAACATGTTTAATTTTAATTAAAGTACTAAAGAATTTTTTATAAATTTTAAATTAAAATATTCAAATTCAGTTAAACATATGTATCCAATATATCTTGACCGTACAAGATTGTTTCATACATCCATGCGGGGGGGGGGGGGGGGGGGGGGGGGGGGGGGGGGGGGGGTGTGTGTTCTGGAACAAATATAAGATTGTAACTTTTGGTACACAAGTCACATGAAAGGGGACATTGCTGAACCCAAATTACCAGGAGCCATATCATGGGGCACAAACAGAACTGATTGATTGTTCTTGCAGTTCCATGGCAGCTAGAGACAGGACCCTGTAGTTCCATATCATGGCAACCGGTGACATGACCAGGAGCTCCATGGCGTGGCAACCAAAGATATTTCACCTCACCTGGCCACTTAGGATCTCTAAAGGCTTAATTGTCAACACCCTTTCAACAGGGGATGTTGTGGTTTTACACTCACAATTTTAAAAGTTACGCAAAACTGATATGCTGATGATGCCAAGATTTTAATATAAACATGAAGGAAAGCTAAATAAACGGAACTGAGCCAAACAGAAATTTTTATCATTTGTGTAAAAAAAAAAAAAAAAAAGTTATTAATTTGCATTCTGCCGAAGCTATGGTTAAAACATTACTACTAAATAAAGCCAAATGAACATTATAATTGCAGACAATTGGACATACAGAAAAAAAACTTTAAAAAAAAAATACTATAATAATACAACTGATTAGATAATGCCAGAATTTCTTTCAGTTTGTGAAATAAAGCCAAACAAAGTGAACATATCTCATATAATCAGGCAAGTATAAATTTAAAATTTGTACATGCATAAAAGGCATTTTAAACTAGCTGAAGAAATAACATTCTACTCATGCCAGACTTAAATATAACTAAAAAGTGAAGATAAATAAGCAAAATATACCTCCAGAAATTCAGACAGTTTTTGAAATTTTGTGTTAAAAAAATAATACAGAAAAATGTCACAATTAAACTCTTGCTGATGCCAGGATTTGAATAAAACTGTTGAGTAAAGCATAATACATTGAAAACAGGCAACCTGACATGATTTGATCTATAGTACAAGAACACTAGTGTCGTTGTCACTGAATTACTGTTGACAGATCAGGCCTTTCCAATTCTAGTGATCACATGTGCTGGACTTGATGTTTTTATTCTAAAATCAGCCCACTTTTCTTCTTATTCTCTTCCTGCAGTTACTTCATCAAACCACTTGGGTTGGGGGGGGGGGGCATTTAAGGATCTTCTGTGTGCTTTTTTCAATGAGCTGTATAAGACGTTATTCATTTTTGTACAGCTGTTTTTGATGCCGTCATTCCAAATTTTGGGTGGTCTTCCCCTTGGTCTATATCTTTTATATTTCTCTAGCGTAGCTCTATAGCAGCTGGCACCAGGGTATTGTCGTCAGATAGCAAAACCCAACCTCCAACCCAGTCAGTAACATTCTGAACTCAGGTCTTTCCTGGCATGCCTTCTCTCCTCTTTCCTTGAAGTAAGCCCGGCAGTGAGTTTTTGAACACAGTGGTAGATCCTGTCATATGTCCACACCAGTGGGATCTGTGTCTTTGTTTTTTACTGCGTTTATATGGACTTCTAGTTGCCAGTAAAGTGAATAATGAATGATATAGCAAACTTCTTTAATAGAGGCATCCGTACAGTGTACCAAGATTAGGATTAACATAAAACAACAAAAGCCAGCCTTGCAAGCAGAGTTACTGCTGTGGTGGCTAAAAGATCACCTCGTCAATAACTGACTTTTTCACCATACTGTTGAAGAGTATTACATTCACTGCTATTTTATACCTCACTAAGGCAATCATTTCAGTCATCATACTGCCTTAAAATAGCAGTTGATGTAATACTTTGAAATAATGTGGAAATATTTACTATGTGACCTTGAACTTTTGGCCACTACTATTTATAAATGATAATTAGTCAGATTTGGAAATTCTCATATTTTCATGATTGAAAATCATTCCATTGTTCCTCCTGCCATAAGAATTAATTTACTGCGGGATAGTTTTACTTTGCCCTAGAGAATTCCTTTGGTTCAGTAGTTGATAAAGACTTTGGCTTTTGGGTGTCTATCCTTCAGTTCTGCTCCCCCCCCCCCCCCCCCCCCCCCCCCCCCCCCCCCCCCAAGAATAAACACACTGCCTTCCCAGCAAGACTGCTGCAGGAATCGACTAACTGGGGACTTCCTTCAAAGTCTGTGCATCTGCCAGAGTTGCAAGGACCAACCAACTGCACACAAATAATAAGTCAGTAAAACGGATGTACACACAAAACTCAGGCCCCGGCACAAAGCCAAAGTCCACATGGACGAACAGCCAGGACTTTCCGTTGGAGCTTACAGCCAGTCAACAAAGAAGAAGAAGATGAAAAAGTTCAGCTCTCTGTACTTTTTTTTTTTTTTTTTTAACTGGTTGGACTCAGTCAATCTTTTCATCAACAGAACAGCATTTATTCCTTATTTTCCTTACAAATTTGTACCAGACTGTCAGCAGGATATAAACTGTGTCATTTTTTGTTCAGGTACTTTGTTTTCATCTACAAATATTAAACAGATATATCAGTCAATGCTCCATTTTATACTTTGTGCCAGCAAATTATAGAAACTGTACTCCTTGAAATGAAAACCTGGACAATGAACAAGCCATAGGAAAGTCAAAATGAAGCTCTGGTAATACGAAGACAGTGCTGACCTGATAAGAGAACTCACCAAAGATCCAAGAAATGGTTCTTCTTATCAGAAATTCATTTTATCCAAATAAGAATTCAACCAAGAAAAAATGCCAGAGTTAAACAAATCTTTCTTCACAACACAAATTATCCACATCTGTGACTGTATTAGGCTGTCTGCACTGTATACAGAATAAATCGTATATCATTGAAACAAAAACAATCAAATACAGAAATCTGAAAAGAGGGATTGTAAAGATAGGTGTCAAAAAAAAAAGAAAAAAAGAGAGACATAAATGAAATAATTGTGTCCCATTAAAAGAATACTTTTTAATAGTGCTCTTGACAGAGCTCATCAACACATGTTACATCTCCCCCTATTTCTGTAAGGCTGTTCTTAATGCCATCACTCCATATTTTCCCGAGGTCTTCCATTAGCTCTATACCCGTTGTAGTGGGCATGTAAAGCTGAAGGCAGGTTAACAAGAGGTTGAGCGTGATACAATTGGGAGAATAACAAAAGAAATAGCAGTCTCACAGTGTGGTTAACCAGGGTAAGAGACAGACAGCATGTTGGAGACCCTTTTGTGGACATAACACCAGACTGATCGATTCATTGATAAGAATATCACAGAGTAATTATTTGAAACGTAAACAATATGTTAATTATCTCACTAAAGATTTCTCTTTCTTATATATATTTTTAAAAATTTTAAACGAACATTCTTAGTGTTTCCTGAGTTCCACACGGTAGTCGTTAGACACGTGCCATGTCTACAACCAGTTAAAGTATCAGAATCCTCTTGTCGCTGTCAGGGTTTAAGCCAGATCATGTAGTCAAAAGTCTAGGACAGGGATGACTGTCACATTCAGCATGAACAAGAATCCTGTGTGGTTGTGGCATGACTCTCCCCCTGAGGAAGGTGGACCGTCTCCGTGCTGGGCGGTGGAACAACACTGGCATCTTCCACTTGGGATCTGTAGATGTCTGGATAAAAGAAAGGGTTGTGCTTAATTTGTGTACATTAATTTCAAAATAAACATAGCTCAATCATTTTGGATAGTCAATCATCATCATCAGGTGCCTTGCCGAATGGCGTGGGCGTTCATGTCTCTCCACAATCTGCAATCTTCTGCAGCATGTACCAGCTTGTGTACTGACACACCTCCAGGCCATGCAACAAGACTGTCACGAATCTTCTCTCGCTGTCTTCCTCTATCCCTCCTTCCACAGATCTTTACAGTGGTGACAACATGTTCTATTTTCCCTCTTCTCATAACATGGCCGAAAAATGATGACTGTCTATTTCTGATGTCTGTGATAAGTTGTCTTCAGGCTCCCGCCTATTTCAAAACCTCTTGGTTGCTCTTTTTGGCTGTCCAAGGTATTCTAAGCATACTTCGGATAGTCAATAAACTAGTGAAATTTGGACAATGAACAGGCAAGTAGAATATCAAACTGAGTATCTGGAAATGTGGATGTACAGAAGAATAGGTCCTATTTTATGGAAACAAAGACAACCAAATACAGAGGTTCTGGAAAGGCTGTGAATGAAAAAAAAAATACAAAAAAAAAAAAAAAAAAAAACACAACAACAACAACTGAAATACTTTGGCCCCATTTAAAGATATAACATTCTTTTAAAAGCCATACTGAAGGGATAGGTAGAGCAAGAGGTAAACAATGATAAAAGTGGGAAGACAATATCAAGAGATGGAGAAACAGCCGTCTGACAGAGTACAATGAAGACTGCTGGAGATCCACTGTAGCCCACTTTCACTGAGAAGACGGCACTGACTGACTGAGGTCAATGAGAACTTAGATGGAAGATGCAGAGGTTTAGTTCAACAGAATAATGATGGGAACACTATGGAGAGATAACATGTGTCTGAGAAATGATTTCACACCGAGGGATGCAGATAACATATGTCTGAGAAATGATCTCACACAGAGGGATGCAGATAACACTTGTCTGAGAAATGATCTCACACCGAGGGATGCAGATAACATTTGTCTGAGAAATGATCTCACACCGAGGGATGCAGATAACATTTGTCTGAAAAATGATCTCACACTGAGGGATGCAGATAACATATGTCTGAGAAATGATCTCACACCGAGGGATGCAGATAACATATGTCTGAGAAATGATCTCACACCGAGGGATGCAGATAACATATGTCTGAGAAATGATCTCACACCGAGGGATGCAGATAACATATGTCTGAGAAATGATCTCACACCAAAGGATTCAGATAACATATGTCTGAGAAATGATCTCACACCGAGGGATGCAGATAACATTTGTCTGAGAAATGATCTCACACCGAGGGATGCAGATAACATATGTCTGAGAAATGATCTCACACCGAGGGATGCAGATAACATATGTCTGAGAAATGATCTCACACCGTGGGATGCAGATAAAATATGTCTGAGAAATGATCTCACACAGAGGGATGCAGAGATGCAGAACAACAGCTGGCGGTGCACCAGGACCAAGGCTTATACTGGTCCAGACCTATCTATACCTCTCCATGGGCATCCTAGCAGCATGTTCCCAACCCCGAGACTGGTCAATATAGAAGTCGAAGTACAGAGGCCACTGGTGCACACATGCTAATGAACAAATATTGCTGAATTCTGGAGATGACGATGTTCCAAAAGCAGATTTAATTACTGTGTTTGAATAAATGTAGAATTGTGAACATGAATAAATGTCGATTACTGTGTGAAAGGGATTGGGGGGGGGGGGGGGGGGAACCCCCAAAAATAAGCCCCAGTGCATTTCCTGGAGAGAAATCAACATAAGACCCAGTCTTATTTCTGGGGAAACATGGTAGATGATAAGAGGGCCCACTACAGCAACGACTGATTACAGACACATTCATAAATTAACTAAAGTAGATCAAGAAGCCACTCACCAACCAGCAAGTTGTTAAATGCTTCTCCAACATTGGTGGAGTCTAAAGCTGATGTCTCAATGAAGGAGAACTGTTGCTTCTCTGCGTGTGGTAGAACAAAACAAAGTAGTTACAATCTTTTTATGATAAATGGTTTCATTTTCCCAACTGCGCCTCCACATAGTAAAGGATGGCAAACACACTGCAGTGTGGTCAACAGCTATAGGGACCGAGTATCTACTGGGATAAGTAGACACATCCGGAGTGCCCTATGCCATTAGCAGGAGCATCATAGAGCAGGGCAGGGCACTCACTTGCTCTAGCAATCTTAAAGGTTGCTGAAGGTTGAGCTGGCGAGAGACTGAGTTATTTTTTCAGGCAGACCGTGATGTCAGCGACTTTCTACAAAGGACCTGCTACATGATGATGATGGTTTCATTCCTACCATCGTCATCTTGTTGTCCTGTTATACATCACAAAGGGCTCACAGTCTGTTCTTCCACATCATTCTGTCTTGTGCAATTGTTTCAATATCATGGAGGGAATCCAGTTGAGCAACTTTAGCCTCTCTCAACATTCCTCTTAGGGTTTCTTTTGGACATCCTCTCCTCCTCAGTTTATCTGTTTCCCACTGAAATGCCTGTTTAGTGATTCTGTTTACTTCTCCTTAGGAAGTCTCCAGTACATCTCCATCTTCTTTGTCTGACAACTGTTGATACCAGTGGTTGTCCAGACACTTCTCTTATTTCTTCACTTTTCCTGAATTCATCTCATCTAATCTTCATCCATTTCTACCACAAACAAATACAATCAAGGACTGCTCTTGCCTTTAAAACCTTTACTGTAAACAGTATTAGAATGATATATGCAAGGAAACTCATTTACACAACGATATTTCATTAATAAAACAAGAAAACATTAATGGCCAAAGAACACTTCATCATCATCACCATCATCAAGTTCCTTGCTGACTGGCACGGGTGATCAAACCTCTCCACAGCCTGTGATCTCCAACAGCATGTATCAGTTAATAATAAATTATATTCTTTCACAACATAATAAACAAACAGGTTATCAAATGATAACATTCGACAAACATTCTTCAAGTAGAAATAATGTAAAGGAAAATTATGATTTCCATAATTAGCTGTGCAGACAAACTGGAGACTATTATGGTAAGAGAAGAAAAGGAAAAAAAAGTACCAGAAAATCAGAGTTCAATTAAAAATTCTTAAAAAAGAAACAAAAGTACAATAAAAAAATTAGTTCAATGAAACATTACTAAATAAAAAACTAAAGTATTAGGAAAAAATACTTAAAAAGCACTAAATAACATTAAAGTGACAAAAAAACATACTTTATCACATACAGAGATAGAGTCAGTGAATGTACTTAGGAAAAGTGGACAGAAGGCTAGCAAAGGGAAGACATTGTTATAAGTGAAGTGAATGAAAGATAGATGAGTACTCTCTATAGGCAACAGTGGCTCCCATACCTGCAAAGACACGTCCTTCTTCCTGTGTCACTGCCCGCAGGTGTCTCAGATCTGATTTGTTGCCAACAATCATGATCCTGGCAGAACGGTCAGCATGGTCTTTCAGCTCCTGCAGCCACTTGCTGAGGTTGTCAAAAGTCTGGTGTTTGGTCATGTCATAGACAACTAGAGCGCCAACTGCCCCTCTGTAGTAGCTGGTGACAGGAAAAGATACGGTCATAATCATATCTCATAAACTAACAAGTTACTGTATGACATGTCGGCATCTGTGGCTTAGGCGTTGCGAGCGCACTTCATAATGCTGGGGTGCCAGGTTCGATTCCTGCTGCGGACGAATTGTCGTGCATTGGTTTCGACAGTGATACTGTGAGCTGACCATTCAGGAAGCAATGGCAAACTACTGAATGTAAAATTTGCCTAGAAAAACCACACAGCCAATAAATAGCAACAGACAAGGTTCAAATGTGCAGCAACATAAACACATTTGTTCTTATTACACAGCTGTTAGTGCATCTGAATCATTACATGTTTCTACTTACACAGTTGTTACTGTAGCAACATGAACAAAGTGTCTATTGCTCAAACAGCTGTTACTGTAGCAACATGAACAAAGTGTCTATTACTCAAACAGCTGTTACTGTAGCAACATGAACAAAGTGTCTATTGCTCAAACAGCTGTTACTGTAGCAACATGAACACAGTGTCTATTGCTCAAACAGCTGTTACTGTAGCAACATGAACACAGTGTCTATTGCTCAAACAGCTGTTACTGTAGCAACATGAACAAAGTGTCTATTACTCAAACAGCTGTTACTGTAGCAACATGAACAAAGTGTCTATTGCTCAAACAGCTGTTACTGTAGCAACATGAACACAGTGTCTATTGCTCAAACAGCTGTTACTGTAGCAACATGAACAAAGTGTCTATTACTCAAACAGCTGTTACTGTAACAACATGAACAAAGTGTCTATTGCTCAAACAGCTGTTACTGTAGCAACATGAACAAAGTGTCTATTGCTCAAACAGCTGTTACTGTAGCAACATGAACAAAATGTCTATTACTCAAACAGCTGTTAGTGTAGAACATAAAGTGTCTACTGCTAAAACAGTTATTAGTGTAGAACATGAACAAAGTGTCTATTGCTCAAACAGTTGTTAGTGTAGAATATGAACAAAGTGTCTATTGCTCAAACAATTGTTAGTGTAGAACATGAACAAAGTGTCTATTGCTCAAACAATTGTTAGTGTAGAACTTGAACAAAGTGTCTATTACTCAAACAGCTGTTGTTTAGAAAATGAACAAAGTGTCTATTACTCAAACAGCTGTTGGTGTAGAACATGATCAACGTGTCTGCCAAAGTGTCTATTGCTCAAACAGTTGTTAGTGTAGAACACAAACAAAGTGTCTATTACTCAAACAGCTGTTAGTGTAGAACACAAACAAAGTGTCTATTACTCAAACAGCTGTTGGTGTAGAACATGATCAACGTGTCTGCCAAAGTGTCTATTGCTCAAACAGCTGTTAGTGTAGAACACAAACAAAGTGTCTATTACTCAAACAGCTGTTAGTTTAGAATATGAACAAAGTGTCCACTACTCACACTGCTGTAATAGCCCTGTAGCGCTCCTGTCCGGCTGTGTCCCAGATCTGAGCTCTGATGACCTTGCCCTTGATTGTGACATGCCTAGAACAGGGAAACAGAGTAAAACATTAGAATTTGGTTTGTTCTTCTCTTCCTCTACCTTTTCTTTCCCAATGGAGCACAGGCCCCCAACCAAATCACACTAAGCCATTTGTAGGCTTTTGATTCACAACTAGTTGCATTCTGAAGGATACACATACTGTGATAAAGTTCTTGTTTCTTTGATGGAGCCAGATAAAAGGTAGATGAGAAATCATATATATCACAACAGAACAGGGTGAGAACTCATACATATCACAACAGAACAGGGTGAGAACCTATTTATATATCACAACAGAACAGGATGAGAATCCATATATATAACACAACAAAACAGGATGAGAATCATATATAACACAACATAACAGGATAAGAATCCAGTCATAACACAACAGACCAGAATGAGAATCGATATATAAAACACCAGAACAGGATAAACAAACATATATAACACAACAGAACAGGATGAGAATTCACATAAAACACAACAGAACAGGAAAAGAATCCATATATAAAAACAGAACAGGATGAGAATCCATTACATAACACACCATAACAGGATGAGAATCCAAATTTATAAAACAAACAAAACAGCTTGAAACTGAACGCTTCCAGCTGCTAACTAAGATCAACTAATGAAGTGCTTCATCTCTGTTTTTAAATTTCTAGCCATAAACTGTGCCTAATTCATCTAATAAATTTAGTTATCATCAGGTTACTTTAAACAGGGAATTAAATATGTTACGAAAAATACATTCTCAGTAAAAATACAGCAAAACCAATTATTATTTTGACTTTACAACTGTGAAGGAATTTTTTTTATGTGTCAGCTTGCAAACAGGTACTCGAGTTATTTTCTACTTGCCCCAGGAGAGCAGATCTTAGATCCATCGCCCGGAAATCAGCGGAGAGCATATCATTCTTTTAATATTTATTTTGTAAACAAAATCCCAGCAGTCAATACCCTGAGAAGCTCGTGGTCTGATTGAGCATGCAATCTTTGACCTACTTCATTCCAACACAGACAGATGCAACCAGTGCCAATATGCTGAGAAAAATGTCACATCTAACCTTGTGGCAAACTCCACACCGATGGTACTTTTGCTCTCACTGAGGAACTCATTCTTGGTGAACCGTGACAGCAAGTTTGTTTTACCCACACCAGAGTCTCCTACCAGGACAACTGTTGTAAGACAAAGCAAACACATGAACAGCAAATACAAGTTATTCATTCCACAACATGGCCAAGCGGCATAAGTCTCAAGTTTTTTCTGATTGTTAAGCAGATATTATTACAGATATATTATTATTTTTACCTGCCATTCTGAAAATTTGTAACAGAAGCTAGTGGGAAAATGTCTGAATAGCATTTATGTAGCCTCACAAACCGTGACCTTGAATTCTTTCCTCCAAGTTTTGTTGTTTCATCCACCCTTGTCGTTCTCTAGGAGCAGATGACAAATATTTGACAAAGCTACCAATAAAGGGGTGGTGCATTTGCATTTACAGAAGTGAGGATGGGAATAAGTCTCACAAGAAAGACTAGGGCCCCACAAGAAACTAGTATCATACAAGAAAGATTCACAAAAAAGACTAGCATCCTACAAGAAACTAGTATCCCAGAAGAAAGATTCACAAAAAGACTAGCATCTCACAAGAAACTAGTATCCCACAAGAAACTAGTATCCCACAAGAAACTAGTATCCCAGAAGAAAGATTCACAAAAAGACTAGTATCCCACAAGAAACTAGTATCCCACAAAAAAGATTCACAAAAAAGACTAGTATCCCACAAGAAACTAGTATCCCACAAGAAACTAGTATCCCACAAGAAAATAGTATCCCACAAGAAACTAGTATCCCACAAAAAAACTAGCATCTCACAAGAAAGATTCACAAAAAGACTAGTATCCCACAAGAAACTAGTATCCCAGAAGAAAGATTCACAAAAAGACTAGTATCCCACAAGAAACTAGTATCCCACAAAAAAGATTCACAAAAAAGACTAGTATCCCACAAGAAACTAGTATCCCACAAGAAACTAGTATCCCACAAGAAAATAGTATCCCACAAGAAACTAGTATCCCACAAGAAACTAGTATCCCACAAGAAACTAGTATCCCAGAAGAAAGATTCACAAAAAGACTAGCATCTCACAAGAAACTAATATCCCACAAGAAACTAGTATCCCACAAAATAACTAGCATCTCACAAGAAAGATTCACAAAAAGACTAGTATCCCACAAGAAAGATTCACAAAAAAGACTAGTATCCCACAAGAAACTAGTATCCCACAAGAAACTAGTATCCCACAAGAAACTAGTATCCCACAAGAAACTAGTATCCCACAAGAAACTAGTGTCCCACAAAAAACTAGTATCCCACAAGAAAGATTCACAAAAAAGACTAGTATCCAACAAGAAACTAGTATCCCACAAGAAAATAGTATCCCACAAGAAAATAGTATCCCACAAGAAACTAGTATCCCACAAGAAACTAGTATCCCACAAAAAACTAGCATCTCACAAGAAAGATTCACAAAAAAGACTAGTATCCCACAAGAAACTAGTATCCCAGAAGAAAGATTCACAAAAAAGACTAGCATCTCACAAGAAACTAGTATCCCACAAGAAAGATTCACAAAAAAGACTAGTATCCCACAAGAAACTAGTATCCCACAAAAAACTAGCATCTCACAAGAAAGATTCACAAAAAGACTAGTATCCCACAAGAAAGATTCACAAAAAAGACTAGTATCCCACAAGAAACTAGTATCCCACAAGAAACTAGTATCCCACAAGAAACTAGTATCCCACAAGAAACTAGCAACCCACAAGAAAGATTCACAAAAAAGACTAGTATCCCACAAGAAACTAGTATCCCACAAGAAAGATTCACAAAAAAGACTAGTATCCCACAAGAAAGATTCACAAAAAAGACTAGCATCTCACAAGAAACTAGTATCCCACAAGAAAGATTCACAAAAAAGACTAGTATCCCACAAGAAACTAGTATCCCACAAGAAACTAGTATCCCACAAGAAACTAGTATCCCACAAGAAACTAGTATCCCACAAGAAACTAGTATCCCACAAGAAACTAGTATCCCACAAGAAACTAGTATCCCACAGGAAACTAGTATCCCACAAGAAACTAGTGTCCCACAAAAAACTAGTATCCCACAAGAAAGATTCACAAAAAAGACTAGTATCCAACAAGAAACTAGTATCCCACAAGAAACTAGTATCCCACAAGAAACTAGTATCCCACAAAAAACTAGCAACCCACAAGAAAGATTCACAAAAAAGACTAGTATCCCATAAGAAAATGGTATCCCACAAGAAACTAGTATCCCACAAGAAACTAGTATCCCACAAGAAGTACTAGGGCCCCACAAGAAATTCTAGCATCCCACATCCCACGAGAAAGACTAATATACTCACTTTTCCAGATATAATCATAATGATCATCTACACCTGAAGAGGTCATTGTTAGTCTGTTGTCGCTCTTCAATGTATGTTGATTTCAATCTCTTTGCCAGAAAATATTCACAAACAATAACAGTTTCAGTATCTGAAAAAGTAAAGAAAAATAATACTGGATTTAAACTATAAGATTTTTTTTTTAAAATTTCATCATCATTATCAAGGTGCAGGTCTTTTGCAGAAAATTGCACTTACCACAGCCTGCCTGAAAGAAACTCAGTGTTCTCGTCAGATCTTCCATCATGCAATATAATTTAGAGTTTCATATTTAGAATTAACATCCCCCAAAAATGCATAGTTTTGGGGCGCTCACATTTGGATTCCTGCATCCCCGTGTGGGTTTGGGGCCCCATAGTGGGGGAAAACAAGAACAGACTAAATGCCTCCCCAACAAGCATATCACAGAGTCGAATAACGGGGGATCTTCTTTTGAAGGCTGAGTATATCTGCCAAAGTGGCAAGGAACCAAGAGCCCGCATACAAAAAAAAAGCCAGATCTCTGAAACGGATGTGCACGCAACACTCAGGTTCTGGAACAAGACTTAAGTCTGGAGGTGTTCGAACACCCAGAACTTTCCACTAGAGTTTACAGCCGGTGAACGTGAAGTGAAGAAGAAGGATTCCTAGAAGTAGTGAGGTAAAGTAGTTCCATAACAGGAGCTGCCTTGTGATGTGTTGGGTCTTCAAAGGTTCCAAGTGCCAACATATCAAGTCAGTTCTCTTCCACCTCAGCTTTTCTTTCCAGATGATCCCCAGGAGTTTCTGGAAATTGTCTGGTACCTGGGATGCAGACGTGGTGAACAGCACGTGCTGGTGCACCAGGACCAGGGCCCATACCGATCAAGAACTATCTACACCTGTCTCTCTCTCTCTCTGTGCATGTGTGAGTGTGTGTGTGTGTGTGTGTGCGTGTGTGTGCATATGCATGTGTGTGGGTGTGTGGGTGGGTGTGTATTTGTGTGTGGGTGTGTATGTAGTTGTGTGTGTGTCTGTAGGTGTGTGTGTGTGTCTCTGTGTAAATGAGTGGGTGTGTGTATGTGGGTGTGAGTGTGTATGTGTGAAGGAGTAGGTGGGCGTGTGAATATGTGCACATGCATTTTACCACCCATGTATTTTTTCCTGGTATTCATAATATGCATATTATTAAATGAACATGATATGCTTACTGATAAAATACAATTGCTGTGTGTAAGATGGGTATTTGGAAGGGCCGAATGTAAGGCGGGCCTGCGGGCCCCATTTGAAACTAAAGTTTGTTCATGCGTTTGTGGTCATCATTGAAACAGGACTTAACCAAGTGCCTGGCCAATGTAGGTAAATCAACATTTCCTTCAACGGCAGAGTGTAGCTTCTGGACAGCTGAGGACCCAAAGGTCTGCACACAAAATAAGTTAGATCTGTAAAACAGATGTGCAGGTTAAACTCAAGCCCCAGAACAAGACCAACATATAGAAGTGGATGAACAACCAGGACTTTCTGCCAGCAAATGAATGTGAAAGAGAATAATTCAGGTAGCCGTTTTTACAAAGATACGGTCCCTAGGGAAGAAGCGGCCTCAGAGCTATACTAGTTGGATTACATGCTGCCATTTCTAGGGACAGAGCCTCAATAATCTTGACAGGGAAGCATGTTCACCATTATAAGACAGTCAAGTTGTGCACTGTGTATAACATGCTAGGCATATATTTTTACAGACCAGCAAACCCAACAGTGGGTCATGTGGTCAACACCACACTGAGTGCCTTTACTTCCAAGGATATTATCTGGTAACTGTTTCAGGCAATGCCGACCTTGGAGCCGATCTTGAAAAGAACAAATCTTTTTTTTTTTCTGGATGCAGATTCATACTCCAGGCCTTCAGGCCAGTAGGTAAGTGTCTAGCCACTCCGCTACCACAGCTCCTGCACTAAATCTTATATCATACTTATATGTATTAAACTATTAACTTCATTTGTACCTCCTAAATACATTTTATTATATTTTACGCTTTACCTAACATTTACTCAAAATGACATCCCAAGAAAACACCACAAAACTTGACTCTGAAGGTGCCAGCTTGGCTAAACAACAGTTAGAAACAAGTCCAATGAATGCTCAGTCCATCAAGGTTGAGATGTAATTACCTACAGTCATGATCCTCATGTCCAACTCTGGACATAACAGGTTTTGCAGGAGAAGGTTGTTTCAATTATCCCAGTAACAATCATGAGACACCACAGACATGATAGAAGAACAGAACTAGTGAATGTGTTTTAGTTAACACAAGCTTTGTGCGAATGACAGTTACTTATTACCCTGTCTTTTTTCAGAACCATTTATTATAGATGCTGGATTGCTCAATATTCACTCTCTGAGTCCCAAGGAACGCATCATACGTTTATAGGTTCCTACCTAGAGACCCAATAAACGCAAGATGCGCTGATTTTACATCTCTTTTGATTACCCCTTAAGCCTCTGATGCTAAACCCCTTGGGACTCAAAGAGTTAAATACACAAATAAATAAATTGTAAATACAATTTTTATTTTTTTTATTTAGAGTAGATACAGGATTCTTCCACATTAGAATACTTGAAAAAACATAATTCTTCCATATTAAAGTACTTGTAGAAATACAATTGTTCCATATTAGAGTGCTTAAAGATAAAGTGAAGATGTGGTTTTTGAGAACAACACAGAGAATATCATTTAAGGATAGAAAAGCAAATGGAGCAGTTCTGAACTACACAGGATGATGAAGGGATAAGGATTCTTCTATATCAGAGTGCTTGTGGGAGGCAACAGTGCTGAACTACACATGATGATGATGCGATAAGGATTTTTCCATATCAAAGTACTTGTAGGAGGCAACAGTGCTGAGCCACACATGGTGATGATGAGATAAAGATTCTTGAATATTAGAGTGCTTGTGGCAGGCAACAGTGCTGAACTACACAGGATGATGATGTGATAAGGATTTTTCCATATCAGAGTACTGGTAGGAGGCAACAGAGCTGAGCCACACATGTTGATGAAGGGATAAGGGTTCTTCTATATCAGAGTGCTTGTGGGAGGCAACAGTGCTGAACTACACAGGATGAGGATGAGATAAGGATTCTTCCATATTAAATTACTTGTGAAAGGCAACAGTGCTGAGCCACACATGATGATGAGATAAGGATTCTTCCATATTAGATTACTTGTGAAAGGCAACAGTGCTGAGCCACACATGGTGATGATGAGATAAGGATTCTTTCATATTCGATTACTTGTGGAAGGCAACTGTGCTGAGCCACATGGTGATGATGAGATAAGGATTCTTTCATATTAGATTTCTTGTGGGAGGCAACAGTTCTCAACTACACAGGATGATGATGAGATAATGATTCTTCCATATTAGAGTACTTGTGGGAGGCAACAGTTCTGAACTACACAGGATGATGATGATGAGATAAGGATTCTTCTATATTAGAGTACTTGTAGGAGGCAACAGTGCTGAGCCACACATGGTGATGATGAGATAATTATTCTTCCATATTAGAGTACTTGTATGAGGCAACAGTGCTGAGCCACACATGGTGCTGATGAGATAAGGATTCTTCCATATTAGAGTGCTTGTGGGAGGCAACAGTGCTGAACTACACAGGATGATGATGAGATAAGGAATCTTCCATATTAGATTACTTGTGAAAGACAACAGTGCTGAGCCACACATAGTGATGATGAGATAATTATTCTTCCATATTAGAGTACTTGTATGAGGCAACAGTGCTGAGCCACACATGGTGCTGATGAGATAAGGATTCTTCCATATTAGAGTGCTTGTGGGAGGCAACAGTGCTGAACTACACAGGATGATGATGAGATAAGGAATCTTCCATATTAGATTACTTGTGAAAGGCAACAGTGCTGAGCCACACATGATGATGATGAGATAAGGATTCTTCTATATTAGAGTACTTGTAGGAGGTAACAGTGCTGAGCCACACATGGTGATGATGAGATAAGGATTCTTTCATATTTGAATACTTGTGAAAGACAATAGTGCTGAGCCACACATAGTGATGATGAGATAATTATTCTTCCATATTAGAGTACTTGTAGGAGGCAACAGTGCTGAGCCACACATGGTGCTGATGAGATAAGGATTCTTCCATATTAGAGTACTTGTAGGAGGCAACAGTGTTGAGCCACACATGGTGATGATGAGATAAGGATTCTTTCATATTAGATTACTTGTGGAAGGCAACAGTTCTGAGCCACACATGGTGATGATGAGATAAGGATTCTTTCATATTAGATTACTTGTGGAAGGCATCAGTGCTGAGCCACACATGGTGATGATGAGATAAGGATTCTTTCATATTAGAGTGCTCGTGGGAGGCAACAGTGCTGAGCCACACATGGTGATTCACACCAGGACCTAGGCTCATACTGGTCAAAATCTATCTACACCTCTCCGCTGTCATCTCAGAAACAGGCTCCCAATTGGAGGATAGGAGTGTCTGGCCAACGTAGACAGAAACCTTGTTTCCTTGGAAGTCTGACTGCATCTGACTGAGATGCAGACAATAATGTTCCATTGTGCTACAAGGAGACAGAGGAAATCACATCTAATGGTGATAGCATGTGTGACTAGCAAAACCAGTTCACGTTAAGAAGAATCTTCCACAATAAGTGCATAAGATTTTAGGACCATTGCTGCCATCACATGTATTTAACATGTTTCTTTTCAGACACTCAGCACTTCCTGCAGTACTTGTTTCTTATTTCCTTCCTAATTTGTCCTCTCTTTTTCTTAAAGTCCATGCCATGTGGCGTTGGTAGTCATGTCTATTCACAGCTTTCAGTATTATGTAGATTCAATCAACTCTGATGTGGATGATTCTCCATGCCATGGTGTCAAACAGTATAGCACTTCTGCTCCCTCTGCCTCTCTTCCCATCCACCTTTCCATCTGTTATGATGTACTTTAGTTGTATCCTTTTCATGACAGGACCAAAGAATGTAGATTGTCTCTTTCTGAT